TACATATTTTTAGATTTCATCTGCTTTTATTTCATATTTGGGTTTTTCAAAAAGATTTTTTAAAAGGGAAATGGTTCAGAGCATAGTGATCTTCAGCCTCTTGTATGATCTAATCTTATCGGTGACATTCTTACCCAGTGTTTCTAAAGTTAGGTAGGCTAGATTGGCTCTTCCTTTCAATCTTTGAATTTTTATTTCAAGCCTTCATAATTTGAACACGTTTACAAATGCATGCTTTAAAAAGAAGCTGTCCTCCACTTGAGTCTGTCAGTAAATGTAGTTACAGACAGCATTGCTTATGTCTAAAAATAATCAAATGGTACCATATGGTAGGGTGTAGTAGGGGCTAGCTAGCCATCTCTGCAATGACTGTATTAGTAAGCTATCATAGGGCAATTTTAGTTTTAACAAATTGTTCGCTCTTAGTTTTGCATTCACATATTTTTCTTAGATTCTAATCATTTCTTAGATCAACATTGAGACTTATATATTTTATAATATATATGTCTATGAGACTTATATATTTTCTATTAAGTACGATCTTTGCATGTGACCCTGTGCTGATTCTGTTCTTGACCTTTACACTAACCCCATAAGATGCTTTTCTTCATTTTTGGCCATTTTGACATGAAAGAAGTGTAGAGTTTTCTTGGCTACAGTGTGTCCTCTATTTAGTTACATGAACTATGATAGCAGAGCTTTCTTATTTACCCCTTAACACTTTCAAAAAATGGAGTTCAGACTTTATTTGGACTTTGGTAGCTTTGAACTGAATACTCTTCCGCAGGAGGCGCCCACTAAGGAGTCACATCACAGTCAGCCACCCCGTAGGCTCATCGTCTGTGACGGTTTCTCAGACTTGTCTTCGATGGCCTGGACTGTTTTCAGCAGGAATGTAATGTTTTGCATTCTCTTTTAGTTTAACAAAAATGCTTTCCAGGAGATGAAGTAAGCAGTAAAGCTTACGCGTCCCCCTTGCACAACGACAAACCCAAAGAAAAGGAACTGCTGGTTGGTGGAGGGCGGCCATCTTCTCTACTGCTCGTTGGTGCTTGGGCAGGAATAGAGCGCATATGGCCAGACGGTTTGTATGCCATGTGGAGAAACGAGGGAAAACGTTAAGGGTCATTATACACACACAGAGGTGAAGGCGGCTCTTAGGAGCAGACGCTTTCCGGCTTTTTTGAGTCTGGGGAGGAAGTTGCTGCTGCTGCGTGAGGGAGGCAGATGGGAGAGGAAGCTGAGACTGCAGGTTGATGAGCACTGGAGAGTTTATTAGATGCATTTGGGGGCCTTTCCAGTGGAAGTCTCCTCTGGTGGCTATAATTTTGGCAGGGCCTGGCTAAGGAAAAGAGTCAGACAGAGGGAATAGATGACCTCCCTCGATTCTTGAGTACTTTTTCCACAGAATCTCACAGAGAGTTTGAAGCAGTTTGAAGCCCAGAAGTATTAATGACATCAACCTGCTCTGAGTAGGGTAGTGTGACCGAACAAATAAGAATACAGGACTCCTAGTTAAGTTTGAATTTCAGGTAAATTAAGAGCAGTGTTTTAGCATAAGCATCCAATGTAGTATTTGGGATGTACTTGCACTACAGATATATTTATCTGAACATTCCAAGCCCTCTGTTTCTCTGGCTCTGTCATTTTCCCTTTCCTTGAGATCCCCAAGGGTAGGGGAGCCTTAAAATGGTGGTCTTAGACCACCACTTCTCTTGAGAGCAGTTACTTAATGCCAAAGACAAATGTGGCATGACTTGTTCACAGATGCTACCCCAGATCAGCATTTATAGAAATGATGGAAAACTTCATTTCCATTCTTTTGGTTTTCATTTTTGAACAGATAGTTAATAAGTCTATTACAAACAATATCCTTTAATATATATAGTTCCCAAGGAAAATCAAACCCAATGGATAAGAAATGGGAAGCAGCAAAGGTATATTCCCCCATAACCCCCCCTGATGTGTTCTTTTTTTGCCCCCCCCCCCTGGAATCTGTCTTTAGAATCCAGTGGTTATTTCATGACCCACTCCAGTTCCTATCTCATTTTTCAGGTTTTCTCAGACGATGGAGATAAAAAAATCTGGATACTACAAAGGGTTGTACATGCATTAGATAATTGAAAACTGATTTATAAAATGGTAAAAGTGTGCCACATGCCAGGCATAATTTTTTAAAATGCTCAGGAAGTCTCATTTAACCAATTAAAGAACTTAGAACTGATGTAAGTATTCTCCTGGCTTCCAAGAAAATCTGTGGAAACATTCTGCTTGTTCTCCTCCCCAAATCAACTGGATCAATGTCAGAGAGCATTTAAAAGTTTTGGTAAAATGGAGTTGACACACCATAATCGTAATGGCATAAATTCCCATTAGCATTCACTGCTGCATAAATAATGTTCATTATCATGATTAGAAATGTTAATTTCTTAGAGCAATCATAATTTCCGTTAATCTTCTATGGCAGTGTTTTTTAAACTGCAGGTTATGACCCATTAGTGAGTCATGAAATCAATTTACTGTAATATAATCAACGTTAAAGAGAATAGGCTAGATTAGAATTGAAAATATTCCATTTCATTGCATACAGTTAATGTAAAAGTTATTTTATATGCTTGATGTTCAGTATTCTAAATACATATGCATAACTTTTTGGCTGTAACATTAAGTTATTTCATATGGTGTGTCATACTCAAAAAAACTGAAGAACCATTATTCTAATAATACAACAAATAAGACTAATAGAAGGTGAAACAATTTCAAATCTCATGAATTGGAGAAAGAGGAAGAAAATATGTTCAACAGAAGATAGTATGGAGGCCATTGTGTGTTTACTAATAATTGGGCGCTTCTACACTTGTGAGTCTTGGTTGAAGATGATATAGATGGCACCCCATTCCTGCAGGCTGATGAGCCCAGGATGGCTAGGTATGGGTCTAAGAGGGTATCAGCTTGACTGGTGGACTCACCTTGAACTCCTTTGCCCGTTTCCTTATCTGAAGATGGGCCTTGTACTAGCTGGTCATGAAACTGTTGTTTAGAAATGAACATGTATGTAGAATACTTCTAACATGGTATGTGGCGCAAAGCAATTTCTCAATATATACTAGTCACCAACTTTACTTTTTTTATTACTAAGAATAAAAAATATCAGAGTTACTTGCCTCAAACTTTTAATTTTGTTTATGCTAAATGGAAGATGGAAACCAGAGTGTGCTTTGTGGCTCAGCTCTGTTTGGTCTCTTGCCCTTCTATAGGTCTGTATTTCTTGAATACACTGGAATGAAATACCTTAAAGGTTTTTGTTCTGCAGACATGATACACTTCAAGGAATTGAAAACTTCCCAAAGTGTGACTGGGAGCTTAAGAGGACATACTTGTATATTTTGGGGGGTCATGGACAGAGAGGGCCAGCAACATCTAATGTCAGAGAGGTCAGATGGCAAAGTGAGTTGTTAAATATACTTGGCCCTATATCCAGGCTTATTAATTAATATTGTAACCTTGAGCGGTTTCCTTAACCTGCTATAGCTCCAGTTAGCCCATCAGTAAAGTGGGGATTAAAGATACCTCCTACATGATAAGGTTGGTGTAATGATTAATTACCTGTAAAAAACAGCACAATTTCTGTCCCATGATGGATACTCAAAATATTGATAGTGGGAGAAGGATCGGCAGACTGGAAATTCGAGCACCATGGTTGCTATGCTACATCTTAATTTTGGAACACAGACTCTGTGACTGCAGCGTTAAGTAATCCACTCATTCCTCCACTTATTCAACAAAAACTGATGGAATGTTGCCATGTATTTGGCATTGAATAAGGTGGAAAGAAAACAGTAATGGAAAAGACTCTTTGGTGTCCTTGCAGAATTTGTAGCCTGGGGGCTTGACAGGCAGGCAGGGCCATCTCTGCAACTTGCCCTCGCAGGCAAACTGCAGGCTCTGGGAGAATGCGGGAGACACCTCTAACCTGGAACCATATTCAACACGGTTTCGTGTTTGCTTTGTCTTACTGCTCTGGTTTTCATTTCTGCACTGTCAGAGGCAGATTCCTTTTTTTTTTTTTTTAATAACACTGGAAATTATTGCTCTAAGGTAACATATTTATTAGAGTGAGATTTGATCTGCAGGGCCTAGAGGAAACTGGTATTCTCTTTAGTATGGATCCAAGAACAAGGCTATGAAGTAAGACCTCTTTATGATACTGGGTCTGAAGAACAGGACAGACATGCACCTTAGGAAGGGAAATGATACAATCTCAGTCATTACTATTTTTGCCTATACTTTCAGGAGGGCTAGAGGTAAATTTAGTGCTGAGTTATAATAATGCAGACTAATTTCTTTGGTTTATTTCTCTCTTCCTTGCAATGGTTTTATTTTTCATTTTAAAAAGAGATTTTTACCATGCATACAGGAATGGAGATGTAGGCCAGAGGTGCAGGGGGGTAAGAGGATTCACCAGGGAAGACTGGGGAGAAGAACCGGCAGATCTCCTGAAATACACTGCTGAGAGGAGCAGCAGGCAAGGCAGGAGAGGTCTGCTGTGCCATGTGGGTCAGCTCCCTGGCTGAAGATCTAACTTGTGCTACAGTGACTGCCAATAGCTTGATAGTTCTAGGGAGCACTTATTGTTCATTTTTAATGGTTTCTCCAGCATTAATCAATCAAAGACATTTTAGATGGCTTTTGAAAGTAGACATTAAGCTAAAACGTATTAAGGAACTTTGAGTAATGCAGTATTTTAAATATTTCATTTTTTTTTACCTTATATACTTTCGTTTCAGTGGATCTGACTAAATAGCAGTGTATTTAAACTTTATGAAATTGAGTGACTAACATGAAGAAATTTAATGAAAGACATTCTCCCACATAAACAGTTCTTATATTATCAATAATTGTATGTGTCACGCTATTTGAAATGATATTCACTCCTAAGTGATAGAATGCTGTGGTGTTAATGCAGATTATTTTGCAATCTCTGAACACAAACTATTTACCTTTAAGCAAAGCTGTCAGGATAGCTAAATCAATGTCCTGGTGTCCTTCTGATCCCATCCGAAACACTGTGATCTGCAATTTGAGAAAAGGTGATCGTTAGCAATGCATTGTCCCTCAAGAGGAGTTAAATCAGTGAGACCATTTCTGAACATAAACCATCTTAATTTCTATAACATAAAGTCTTGACCACAGGGAATGCATACATGGCAAGAATTCAATGAGAGGGTGGTGTAAAAATCATTAAGAAAGAGATGCTTTAGTAGTTTTTAACAGAGACCACCTTAACTAATTACATTAATTATGGTTATGATGAAGAGAAACCAGAGACTCAGAAAAAGGTCGTCTTCTGTCATTTTAGTTTTTAAATAAAATAAAAAAAATCAGGTTTTAAAAAAATGTATGCTATAAGTAAACTACGAGTTGAAAATTCAGTATTTGGAAATAGCATGCCCTTCAGAACATGGGCTCACCGTGTATGTGTGTATGTACTTGTGTGCTGTATACTCTCCAGCTCCTTCACTCCTCAGCAATAGCTACTCCAGGGAGTCAACACTGTGGTAGTCCTAGAGCTTTAGTCCTCTTCATGACCAAACCACTCCCCCCCTCCCCCCACAACAACTTAATATGATGTCCATATTATAAGTAGGAGAAGGCAAGCAATATAATGACATGTTCCCTTTTGGTTTTCCAAGGAATGAACTTATTCTCTGGGGCCAAATAATGAGGAAGAGAGTAAAGAGCAGTGCGGGATTAACTCATATTGGCAACTTGACTATTAACTAGAGAAAGAAAGACAGAAATGGAGACTCCCTCTGAATACGTGTTATTGCTAACCCTGATTAGCAGGAATAATCCCCCCCTTTAACCTTATAATTCCCTGACATTAAAAGAAATGCAATTTATGAAAAAATGCATAGAAATGCTATTTTTGCACACCGCCCTGGCTACTGAATCCCCGAGTGTATGTTTCCAGAAGCATCTTTAGAGAGAGCACTGAAGTGCCACGAAATACACGTTGCTCTGCAACAGACTAGTTTTTATTTTGTGCTTTAACTAAGACTATGTCACTTCACCAAAAGGAGCCTAGAGTTCTTATTATATTCAGATCTGAGACCACAAGGACTCAGTCTGAGAGGAAGGATCAGAGGAAGAATCCCAGGAAAGAATAAATAAATGATTTCCTGGAGCAGGAAGGGACATCCTATCCTTAGCCCTGACTTCAGGGGACAAAAGCAACTTGGTTCCATATCACTATTTTCCAGCCAGAACAAACAAAACCAAAACCATGTTTCAAAGCAAAAGTTTGCATAACATGCATTTAAAGTTATCTGCATTATAGAGTAAGGTTTAACCCTTTTTAAAAGGTCCCTTTGTTATCTGCATAATGCCTTGATAAGAAACCTTTGCATGGAAAAGTACAAAACTTATTGAAGAACAAGAAGCCAATCCTTGCTAAATGGAGGCAACTAGTAATGAAAGGATGGGGAAAAGAAATATAATATGTCAGTTCTTACTAAAGGAATATGCAAATAATTTTAAATAAAAATTTCAAAATATTTCTCTGACCTTTGATAAACTGACTCTAGAATTTATTTGGAAAGGCTGAAAACTTCACTTGCTTTACTTGTGTATTTTGTAAAAGGCAAGCCTATATATTTTTTTGAAAACAATCACTAATCTCTCAATGGTAGAAAACAATCCAGTTATATTTAATGTGATAATTGATTTTTTGTCTTATTTCTTCCATATTAATTTGTGTTTTCTACTTTCTAGATTTTCTTACCCTTTCTTTTTCTTAAAATATTTATTTAAATAGTCACATAGCCAGACAAAAATTCCCAACAGTATAAAGAGATATATGTGAAAATTAAGTGCACCCCATTTGTCCTTAGTGCTCAGCAGCCCTTCAAAAAGACATCCAGTATTACAGTTGAGAATCTATCCTGGAGACCATTCTGTCCAGCCATGTAGATCAGTGCATTGTTACTGAGTGCCTCAGGCTTCATGACAGTCACATGTTGTTTATCAGTGGGATATACATTCTGAGAAACGCACTGATTTGTGCAGACTTATCAGCTGTGATTTCATAAACCGAAGTGGGATAGCACAGCACACACCTACGTTATATGGAGTAGCCAGTCGTTACCACTGTTGTCTATGCAATCTCTCATTGACTGAAATGCCATCAAATGATCAATGAGTGTTATGTGCTTAATGTTATTTATTTGATCAGTCTTCCTCTGATGAACATTTGGATTGCCCTCAATCTGTTGCCATTATAAACCCCATGGTAGGGATTATTTTATACACCCAGAGTATATCTATAGAAAAAAAGTTCATTCATGGAGAATTGTTACTTGAAACTCTTCAATTCATTCCTTTAATTTTGCTCTTTTCTTTTGTTCTTGTATGGCCATGGAAATAAATTTTAACTTCATGCTATGTACCTTTCTCCCATAATGATTTGAAAACTTGAGTTTTATACCTTCTTTTAATATTCCAGAAATTAATCAGAACGTCTCATCTCCTAATAGGTCCTTTTCTCATTTCTTTCCAAGGTGAGCACTGATACAGATTTGCTTAAGCAGTTTCTATATTTTCTGTCATTTTTGCCCTTTTTTATCATTCAAGGAGAAAGAAGGGACACAGGTAGGAGACACCAGGGGATTTCATAGGGTGGAATCCATGAAAATCTCACCAATGTAATATTTAATAGAAAAAAATTTAATTAGGTAAAAGTATGTTATCATTTTTCTATAGTCAGTTGAGAATAAAGCCTGTTTTTATTGATTACAAAAGTGATATTTTAAAATAATATAATAGTTTATTTTTACATCACTTTGTGCCTTTTTCCATCTCAGTTGTAATCCCTGTGGGCTTCCCATCACCAAATTACCCGTGTGCCATCACCATAGTCCAGTGCACTTCCCTCCCTGCACTGTTTTGGATCCCATTCTCCACTCCACCCCCATAAAATATTTCTGGTATATAGTTGTTCATTATTATTATTATTTTCTCCCCTGGTCCTTTATACACCTGCTATGAGTGAAACCATCTGCTATTTTTCCTTTTCTTTCTAGCTTATTTCACTAAGCATGATCCCTTCCAGCTCCATCCATGTTGCTGCAAAAGGCATGAGTTTATTTTTTTGATTGCTGAGTAATATTCCATTGTGTATATGTACCACATCTTTTTAATCCAGTCACCTACTTTTGGGGATCTGAGTTGTTTCCATATCTTTCCAATTGTAAATAAAGTAGCAATAAATGTAGGGGTACAGGTATTTTTTGAATCAGTGTTTTTGTGTCTACAAAAGTGATGTTTTAACACGTACCCTAAAAGTAACTATTGGATTTGTTTGACATGTTCGGTTATTTTGTGAAAGTGCTATGGAATATAGTGAGATTAAAAAGTTCTTCAGTATTCAAAAGTACAAACATCCCACATTTTGTTAAAAACATAACTTGCCGGCCCTCTCTGGTGGCGCAGTGGGTTAAAGCACTGCACTGAGAAACTAAAGCCACCTCCGCATGAGTTTGATTCCCACATGCCCCGGAGGTGACCACATGGCGTGGCAGACCTCTCCTGACCCGCCTGCTGCTCCCCTCAGCAGTGTACTTCGTCGATCTGCCTGTTCTGCTCCCCACTCTGCCTCTGGTGAAGCCTCTCGCCACCCCTGAGCTTCTGGCCTGTACCCCAGTTCTGTATGTACAAATAAATAAAACCTTTAAAAAATATATTTAAAAGAAACAAACAAACAAAAAAACATAACTTTCCTCTCCAAACTCAGTTTGCCAGTTAATATCTTCAGCTTGCTTGTGGACAAGTTGCCTAAGCCTTGATATAATTCTGATTCTCACTTCGCAGGGAAGATAAACCTTGAAATGAACATGGTTCCCTATTCACCACCCCTCCAATCTGCCTGGCAACCAGCTGCCTTGTTTATGTTCTTACCCTTACTTTTGTACCTTCTTCAAAGTCAGGAAGCCGGATATTTGTCAACTTCATACCCTTAAGACAACCAGCCCATTGAACACATGCTTACTCAGCAGCTCCTGTATTTCAGGCACTGTGTTAGTGCTGGGATAGAGCAGTGGACAGAAACAAGGACCAATTCCTGCCTTTACGGCGCCTATTAATGAGGGGAGATAGAGGGAAAGTAAACTTGGTGGTATATCAGACTATGAAATGTTCTCTTTGGTAGTGCTTCTACTGTTTATTGCCTTTCCAGCCTCTCCATCACAGCCATTGTTCAGCCTGGCATGTTAATTACTGCAGTAGTTTCCTTACTGGTCATCCTTATTCTGGTCCTTCCGCCCTATTCCCCATGCAGCTACTCAGGCAGTCTTCCTGACTACATTGCCTTCCTTATTAGTGGCTTCCATCATGTACGGTACAGAAGCTGAGCATTCAAATACTCTTCTTTAGTCTCCTCTCTTGCTGATGGCATCCTTGCTCCCATGGCCTTGCAGATACCCCCTCCACCCCGGCAACCACAAGAGACCACAGTTGTGCCACATAACATGCTTTTATGTCCTTGGGGAATTTTAGTCTCTTAGCCATTGTTTATTCAGTTTCCCCCCTTTTGGAATGCCCTATCTTGTGTTTGGCCAAAAAACTGCAAGTCTTTCATTTTAAATGCTCCACTGAAGAAACCCTCCTCTATAATTAGGAACAAACCCTTACGTTTGTACTTCTATTATACCCTGAAGGGCTTCCTGTGATACCACTTTAACCACTTCATTGCTCTGATTTGCACGTAAGTCTCTGTGTTTTAGAGAGAGGGCCAGCGTAGGCAGGATGACCAGTTCTTGTTCTGTAAATATTCACTGAGCGGATTAATTATTACCAAATGACTGTGTTTAGAAGGGTTTGAAAAAGACAAAAGGGAAAAGGACATTCCCCAAAAGAATGGTAATGCAGGTAAAGTGAATTGTACATTAGAGTCAGTCTTACAACAAGGGTGTATTGTAAGTATTAAGAGTAAATTTGGAGACAAGTTTACTGGATATTATAGTATTGTTCAGGAGCTGAACTCTAATCAACTATTTTGCTATAGAACCTGAACTGCC